GGCTATTTTTTGGTTGCAGCCATCATTGTTGTTTGGTGGACCTGGGCTGGATTCGAACCCACCACCTTAGGTGTATGTGGCTGGCGCCTTAGCCACTTGAGCCACAGGTGCTGAGCCATGAAACTCTCTTTCAAAAAGAAAGAAAAAGAAAAGAAAGAGAAGACGCTCAGTAGCAAACAAACACATGGACCAGTGTCCAATGGTGACTGTGAGAATGGCCATGAAGTTCAGGTGCACGCACCCTTGAGACTCCCAGCAAGGATTTGCCCTGGTCCTGGAGGCCAAGCTCATCCTGCAATGGCCCAGATGGCCACACTGTCCACTGAGCTGGAATAGTTGATGCTGGACAGGAAGTGTGTCCTGGAGAGGTGAGGCTGAGAAAGCCTCCTCCTCTTGCTGTACTGGGCCTGGACTCTGGATAGAGCCCCCGGCCTTCTGATCCACAGGGAGCCCCAGGGCGAGGCAGGCATGGACACCTCTGCAACCTCCAAATGGCTCTCTGCATTCCAGCCCTTGGAATCACAGCAATTAAAACTTATAATTGTGGATTGTACCAATGATAAACTATACCTGCTGATTATAGCAGTTATAAGTTGTTTCCTTTGTTCTTCAACCTTCTGATAGCGCTGAGCGTCTAGGGGAGTGTTGTTTATACAGGGTTGGGAAATTGCGAGACCACCCAGCTTTCTCAGGGGTGGGAAAATACAGCCCAGGGTGGGGTGATGTTCCCAGTCCTGAAGCCGTAGTGGTAGTGGGGGCCCCCCACAATGGTCAAACCGGGTGGCCGTTTAGTAGGGTCATTGGTGGCAGTGACCAATGGCAGTGAGGAAGTGCAAAATCATGGGGATCAGGGCACTTCTGGGGTCACTCCAGGCCCCCAGAGGGAAAGAGAGATATTCAGCGGTGGCTGTTTCTCAGCATTTAACTCAGGGGTACTTGAGCCATGAGAATTTGGGTGCTGAACAAGAATATTACTCCATCTGGTCATCATAGGTCATGAGAACTAGACCTTTGAGTAAAGGGAAAAAAACTTTCTAGGCCAAAGCAGGGGGTAACAGGGAAGATGGGGGGAGATATGTGTGTGGGGGATGTGAGGCCATGTGATATGACCACACCGGAAAGTAATTGGGGTTCTCTTTTGCGCCTCCCCGTGAGACTAATGATGTACAATTGTGCCATGTGACACGTGTGTGAGATGATGGAGTTAACTCACCAAGCACCTGCCATGTCCCAGACATGGTGCTGGTGTCCTGCGTGCCCCATCGTATGTGAGGCTCCTGATGTCACCTGATGTGGGTCATTGCCCCATCCTGGACACAAGGGAACGGAGTCTCTGAGAGTCAGGAGCTTTCTCCAAGGTCACACAGCGAGAAATTGCTAGAACTACCCAACTCATGTTCAACCAACATTACTTTCCTGCTTTCAGTCTCAGACATTGACAAAAACCAGTTTATTGATTCTTGAGTCTTGTGACAATGAGACCTTCCATTAGCCACGAGAGCGGGTCGGCGAGACAGTGAGAGAGGAGAGGAGCTAGAGAGAGTCTGACACAGGACAGCACCATGCCCCCCCACCCCCCGCCCCAAACACAGATCTGCCGCTGCTTCAGGCTGTCATTGGTTTTGGCGTTTCCTGGTCATGACTGCGTATACAAGTGTAGCCAGAGCTCCAACTCCAAGGGTCGCACCAACTCCGATCATGGCTTTTTCCACCTGCAAAGGGCAGCTCTAGCTGAGACTTCAAACACACCTAAGCCACCCAGGGTGCATGCAAGCATGCCCCCCCCCCTTCTGCCTTCCCCTGTGGTGTGTCTGCTTTGCCCCTCTCCCCTTCTAGCAGGCCAGCCCTGAGTCTCCTCCTGGGGAAGCTGTTGGCTATCTCCCTAGGGACTGCATTTTCTGGGATGTGATCATTTCTTATTGGTGGGCTTGTCCTGCCAAGAGCTGCTGATGGAATCCTTTTGGAGAGAGCTTTCTGGGGGGCTGGAGGGAAGAGTAGCGAGGAGGGCTGTGCCTGGATTCCCAGGCCAGAGCTCCCAGGCCAGACTGGGGACTGCTTGGCATCTGGGGTCTCCCTGAACCACATGCTTGAGCAGAGTTGGGGGCTGTGGCAGAAGCTGGGGTGGGGGGCTTAGAGAGGCCTTATGGGTCTCTGCGTCCTGCTCATAGTGCAGGTGGGAAACTTCAGCCTGAGCCCTGGCTCTGCCCCGGAAATCTGGTGGGGAACCTTACACATCACAGACATGCTAGATTCCTGATTTCCCCCCTACCCTGCCCCCTGCAAATCTTCCCCCACCATCCCCAATCGATGTAAGCATGTAAGTTAGGGCCCAGAGGTGCCGCTGCATAGCATAATAGGCAGACACTCTACAAAGGACCAGTGTTTTGTTTGTTTGAGACAGGGTCTCATTCTGTTGCCCAGGCTAGAGTGCAATGGTGCCAATCATAGCTCACTACATCCTTAACTCCTGGGCTCAAGCAATCCTCCTGCCTCAGCTCCCAAGTAGCTGGCACTATAGGCGCCCACCACAAGGCACAACTAATTTTTCTATTTTTAGTAGACACGGGGTCTTGCTCTTGCTCAGGCTGGTCTTAACTTCTGTGTTCAAGGGATCCTTGTGCCTCAGCCTCCCAGAGTGCTGGGATTACAGGCATGAGCCATCGCACTGGGCCAACAGTGAGGATTTGATCTGGTTCTGGGGCTGATTCGCTGGGTTTGGAGGCAACAGACCTGGAAGACTATAAAGGGACATGGAGTGGGAGTTGTGCCCAGATCTCATGGACCAGTTGTGGTCCTGGGCCAGCCCAGAATGTCCTGATGACCCCAGGGCTGCAGGAGCTGGAGACCCACGGTGTGTCTCAAGGAGAAGGATCCCAGCATAGCTGGCCAGGCCCTCAGAGGTCCTTAATCTGCCCCCTCCCTTCTGTGCATGGGAAACTGGACTCCCAGCCAGTGGACGGGACTGGGACAGGCTGCCTTTGGCTCCTTCACAGATTCAGCTGCACAGCCCAGGTAGCCCTGCCCCAAGCAGACCCCCAGGAGAGGGACTTTCTCCAGACAGCCTCACCTGTCTGCAGCAGGGCTTGTCATATCTCAGGTTGGTGACAAAGTGCTCGCAGTTCCTCGTCACAACGCTGTACACTATCTCCTTGCCAACTTCCTCCCTTGCAGCTTTGATGATCTCCTGCACCGGCCGAGGTTTGTACTTGCCGTCCAAGTGGTTGTTGACACGGTAGGAACAGCCCCCCACCACAGCCTCCAGGGGTTCCAGCTTCACCTCTGCCCTGTTGCTTAGGACTGAGAAGATGCTGGAAGAGCCAGCCCCCGGGTACTCGCCTGCAAACAGAGGTGCTCTCATTGGGGGCCACGGAGGGGCCCGGAAGGAAGGAAGGGAGGGGAAAGAACTCCACTGTGGGCTGTGGCGAGGATCCTTCCCCACGTATTTGAGGGATCCACAGCCTTTGCTTTTGCTATTGCATAACGTGTGAATGTGTGTTCCAGTCTGCGAGTGTCGTGACTGTCAATGGCCGCCACGGTCCCATTCTAGGCACAGACAGCCTGTGTTTGATCAGTCCCCTCCAGCAGTCTTTAGGCATTTGAAAATTTTTCACCATTACAGACGGGGTGGTTGGAGGATCTACAAAAGCAGAGCAAGCACGGGCCACTCCATTCTGAGCATAAGGCACTCTCTCTCGGCCGTTCAGAGACCTCTGCTGGAACCACCCCCTTCTCAGACCCAGCCCGAAGGAATGAGGAACTAGTGGACACAATGGCTTCAGCAAAAGGAAACAGAAGGAAATAGTCTCAGCAGGAAGCTGGCTGGAACCATACCTGGAAAAGGTCACTGGCACAGCCTCCCCCTCCACCCTACCTAAAACCCTTAAAAGATAAGCGCTCTGGCTCTTGGGGCTGAGCCTCTTGGGTCTTCACCTTCACCTAGGTGCTGATAAACTATTGCTCTCATCTGGCTTTGTGACTTGGATCCAGTCCACTGCTATTATATTGTCAGTCCAACTGACAATTATAAACCAAGATGGTGAAGCACCTTTGTTGGCAGTTCATCTCTGCACACCTGTGTGTTTCAGAAAGGGACCTGTTAGTTTTAGTGCCCCCTGTGTTTCAGTTGCTTTCATAGTCCCCTAATTTAATCTCCTTTTTTAACCTTCAAGGGAAACACTGCGATCTCTATTTACCAGGCAATATTGGGGGAGAGGGTCATTGCCAGACTTTTCTGTGCTGTGACAAGTCCTAGAAGTTGGACGTGAAACTGGTTCTCTCAAGCCTGGAAGGGCAGGCTCCTTTCACCCCATAGACCCAAACTGTAGGGGTTCCTTTGTAGCAAGTTCCTCCAGCCTATGACCTGGCACCGTTTTAGGGACACAGACAAGGGGCACAGAAGAGTAACAACTAATGGGCCAAATTCCGTTCTCTCATGAGCACGGGAGGTTTTTTTTTGCAGTTTTGGCCAGGGCCAGGTTTGAACCCGTCACCCCCAGTATATGGAGCCAGAACCCTACTTCTTGAGCCACAGGTGCTGCCCTGAGTTATTTTTATTTTTATTAAGAGACACAGCAGTGAATGGGCATAAGTATTAGGCATATTTTTGCCCCTTCTCCCCCCCTCCTTTTTTTGAGACAGCGTCACTCTGTTGTCCTTGGTAGAGTACTATGGCATCACAGGTCACAGCAACTTCAAACTCTTGGACTTAAGTTATTCTGTAGCCTGACAATTTTTTTTTAATGTGTAAAACTGTGAGAACTGTTTCTGTTAAGGAGCCTGAAGTTCATAATAGAAAGATACCTTGTTCTGTGACATCATACAACGCAAGGGGCGCAATGTGGGGAAACTTTGCCTCTGAAAAGCCTGCTTTAAGGCCAGCAGGCTTCAGAAATGTGGGGTCTCAGGGCCTGTCAGACTCTGCACACAGGGCTGTGAGCTGAGAGGCTGTAGCGGCCCCTTCCCTGCTCCGCCAGAGCCTCCAGGAGGCGCAGCACCCTGTAGGCGAACACAGCACCCTGTGCTTTCTCAGCAGGCATACTCCACAGAGGCTGTGTCTCCCAGCTTGAGATTCCCCTGCTCAGCTCTCTCTCCATGGTTCTCAGTGTTTTGCCAACAAATATTTTTTGCAGGGTTTTTTTTTTTTTGGCGGGGGCTGGGTTTGAACCCGCTACCTCTGGCATATGGGGCCAGTGCTCTACTCCTTTGAGCCACAGGTGCCACCCCCCAACAAATATTTTGAACATTACATTGCCAGTTAGTCCTTACTTGGAGGAGCCAGGTGGATCACATAACCATCACCCACATAAATGGCCCAGTGCTCATAGCCGATGCGAAAAATCTCAATCAGGTCTCCGGGTTTGGGCTCTTGCTGTGACTGCAACAGGAAAACCAGACATGGTGCCGCCAGCCTTCTAGGTACCGGCACAGCCCACAGCTGGGAGGCTGCAGCCTGGCCTGGGGGACCCATTCTGATGTTCATCCGCGGTGAGAACTTGGGCAGTGGGAGCTCCTGTCTCCTGTGGGACCCCCAGCCCTGCTGTTACTATCAGAGGCTCCCCTCAGTGGAGCACAGGGAGCTGGGAGTCTGGGCAGTGACTTCCTGGATGGGAGGGAAGAGGCTTGTTTGTATGAATGTGTGGTGTGCGGGCAGGCTGAGGGTGCAGGTGTGCGTGCACAGGTGTGTATATGAAGTTGTGTGTGCGGGCAGGGGTGTGTGCACAGGTACGCATTCACAGGTATGAGGGCAGGCTGAGGGTGCAGGTGTGCGTGCACAGATGCATGTGTGAAGTTGTGTGTGTGCGCAGGTGTGCCTGTGCAGGTGTGCGTGTGCAGGTGTGGTACATAGGCACCTGGCACATGTGCCCCTGAGCTGCTGACACAAGCCCTTTACGACAAGCGCTCTTAAAGAGGTGGGAGCTGCAACGGGAAGACGAGTCTTGGCTGCTCTGCCATTTGCAGACTCACTTCTCCTGCCAGGTGCTTGTCCCCAGGAGGCACCTTCTCCTCAGATCCTGCCCCCATGCAGCCTTGGGACACTGGTACCTTAGAGGTCGCAGCACCCTGAAGGGGTCTGAGCCTTAGAGTGAGGTGTAGAGCAGCCCGGCTCCCAGCCCCGCCCCCCGGGGCAAATGCACTCCCAGAGCAGGCTCTGCCAGGCATTCACCTGTTGTAAATGTACCCTCCCAGCACTCCCAGGGGTGGGCAGCACTGTCCCACTGCACAGGTGGGGAACCTGGGGGTCAGAGAGGTGGTGGGACCTGCCGGAGAACACTCCCTGGGCAGGCCATGGAGGACTCCAATGCGCACCCCTCCCCTGCCTTCCTCCTTGCCCTCCTGTGCACCAACATCAGGACTGGAGGATTTCGCGGTTTTCCCCTTCTTTGTGCCTGTCCTCTGTGGATAACAAACCTCACCCACCCTCAGCCCAGCTGTCCCATCCTAGACTAGGGCTCAGCCCACCTTTGTCCTCTTCACCGAAACAGATCAACTCAGACTCTGGAAGTTTCTCCTAATTGTTCATCTCTTGGTACTTACTTGGCTGGGCAGCCCTGTCCCTGCCTCCATGACCTACACAGCCCCCTGCCCTCCCTGGCTCCGGTCCCTGCCACTCCACATCTAGCCCAGACCCACAAGACCTTGTTCTGGACTCAGAGAATTAGACACAGCGTGTGGGCAGCTACAGGCCCTTCCTGACTGGCCTTCTTTATCCTCTCACCCTCCCTGGGCTCTGCCCCTAACTCCCTCTGCCGAGCAACTCCCCTCCAAACCCCTTCAGTGCTGGCTCTGGTCTCTGTAGCCCTCACATCCCCATCTCTCTGCCCCCAGCATGGCCCCACACCCCCTACACTCCCCCCACTTCCCCCACCTTGACACTCCGCCCTGCATCTCCAGGATCCAGGAAGGGCATGTCTGGGAATGGGGCAGAGGAAACAATGAAGAGAGTGCATAGCCCAGACATCTGCTGGGTTCCTCCTCTGTCTTAGCCCCAGGCAGGATATCAGCCAGGGCCCCAAAGGGCCTGCAGAAGATCTTAGTCTGGGGATTCCCAGAGGCTAAGGTCAAGGCCCTGTCACAGGCAGCTGGTCACCAATGACAATGGTCCTAAGCTCTGATTTGTTGGGGCAGGAATGAAGCTTTCCCCAGAGTCAGGTGGAGCTGGCAGAGTGAGCCCCCTCCCTGGAGTTTACAGGGTCCTTCCTGGAACTGCTTCATTTTCCCTAAAAGTCTAAATTATCCGCATATCCCTGGGCTCTGCCTGCTCCGCCTGGACTGCTGCCCGTCTGCACAGCTGGGCTCTGCGGTGGGGCGGTTCAGGATTTAGAACGCTGACCTTAGATGCACCTCGTAAGGCAGGACAAAGGCCAGGGAGGAAAGAGGAGAAAGAAGTGTTTGGGGCTGAGGAGGACAGAGTCCAGTCAGCAGCAGAAGCAGACATCATGGGGATCGCCCCCTCCAAGACACACAGAACCCCCTGTGCCCACACCCTGGCTCCTCCCCCAGCTGCCTCCGGTGAGCAAGTCTCCTGTTTGGGCAGACACAGCCCCAGGGACCCCTCAATCTCCCTCCCACACGGTCAGGACAAAGGATTTTATTATCTATTTACTTTTTATTGTTTTATCTTTTTAGACAGAGTCTCACTAAGTCACCCTCTGTAGAGTACTGTGGTGTCACCGTTCACAGCAACCTCTAACTCTTGGGCTTAAGTGATTCTCTTGCCTCCACCTCCCAAGTAGCTGGGACTACAGGTACCCACCACAACGCCTGGATATTTTTGTTGTTATTGTTTTGTTGCAGTTGTCATTGTTATTCAGCAGGCCCGGGTTCGAATCTACCCTCCTGAGCGTATGTGGCTGGTTCTGTAATTATTGTGTTATGGGCGGGTGCTGAGCTAGGACAAAGGATTTTAAAAGTCAAAGAGTTTTCCAGGCAGGCTCTAAAGATGAGCCTGGGGCTCAGTATCCTCAAGACCAGGAGCCCAGACTGAGCCCACCCTCTGTAGTGCCAGCAGGGGAAAGTTCAAGGGGACTTACCTCAGCCATCTGGATGCAGGCGGGTCTGTGTCAGCTGTTTAAGGAGCAAGCAGCTTTTATATAGGCCCCAGAGTTTAGCTTTCACTTTCACCTTCCTTTCTACACTATATTCCTCAAGGTCTAAACCCACTTAACTAAGGTGACTACATAAGCACTAGGGATTTTCAGTAATTGCAAAGGCTAATGATTTTCTACATGAGAATCTTTTTTTTTTGAGACAGAGCCTCAAGCTGTTCCCCTGGGTAGAGTGCTATGGCATCACAGCTCACAGCAACCTCCAACTCCTGGGCTCAAGCAAGTCTCCTGCCTCAGCCTCCCAAGTAGCTGGGACCACAGGCGCCCACCACAACGCCTGGCTATTTTTTTGTTGTTGTTGCAGCCATCATTGTTGTTTTGGCAGGTCCGGGCTGGATTTGAACCTGCCACCTTAGGTGTATGTGGCTGGCACCTTAGCCACTTGAGCCACAGGCACCGAATTTACATGAGAATCTTGATGCTTTATTTTTATGTCACTTACACATTTTTTCATTCATTTTTATTAGAATGTGCTTGTGAGGCACAAGGGCAACATTGCTGCCTTGATCCACTGCACTGTGGTGAAGTGAGGGCCCTCAGTGCCTCTGTCACTACAGCCACCACACTGTGCCCACCAGGCAACTGTCCATCATCCCCCAGCCCTCCCAGTCTGTGACTCCATTGTCCTGACTTTATGTCTGGTGATGTCTGTCCCGTGAGTCTGTGTCCTCCGATGTTGGGTGCGTTTACAGTTAGGTTGGTTAGATCCTCTTGTTGAACTGATGCCTTCATTATTACACAATGACCTCCTTTGTGTGTGTGTGTTAAGTCTGTTTTATGTGATGAAGGTATCGTTATGTTGGGACCAGAATCGCTGCTGAGAGACCACCACACACATGTAAAAACGAAGAGGTGCTTTATTCACAAGCATATGCCTGGGTCACTCCACCATATAGCGTGCCTGGGGGAAGGGCGACCAAACGAGAGTGGAGGGGTTTTTAAAGCATCTAGAGGAATTTCATTGGGTGTTTTGTCAGGCCAGGTTGCTATTGGCTGAGCTATTTATGGTTAGGAACTTTCCATAGAAGGTGGGGGGGGGGTGCTGGCTCCCTCTGAGCTGACTGACCTTACCCAGAAGTGCAGAGGGAGGGGGGAAACTGGCTGCCCAGAAGTGCGGAGGAGGGAGCCCGTCTGTGTCAGATAGGCTGATTCCACCTGGCGACCTTGCCCAGGAGGGGAGTGGGAGTGAGTTCCCAAATGGAGTTACATTAACCTCTTCATTCCCAAATGGAGTTACATTAACCTCTTCATTCCCAAATGGAGTTACATTAACCTCTTCAGTACTCCTGCTCACTTTCGGTGTCCCTGCAATTTCTTTATCCACCCCTTTACTTTCAGGCTGTGTGTTTACAGGTAAGGTGAGTTTCTCCCAAGCTGCCGTAGTTGGAAGGTATTTTATTTTATTTTATTTTATTTATTTATTTTTTGAGACAGAGCCTCAAGCTGTTGCCCTAGCTAGAGTGCTGTGGCTTCACAGCTCACATCAACTTCCAACTCCTGGGCTTAAGCGATTCTTTTGCCTCAGCCTCTCAAGTAGCTGGGACTACAGGCACCCGCCACAATGCCCGGCTATTTTTTGGTTGTAGTTGTCATTGTCGTTTGGCAAGCCCAGGCTGGATTTGAACTCGCCAGCTCTGGTGTATGTGGCTAGCGCCTTAGCCCCTTGAGCTACAAGTGCTGAGCCAAGATTTTTTTATTTTAATCCATTCTACCAATCTACACTTTTAAATGGAGCATTTAACCCGTCTACATTCAGGGTGAATATTGATATGTGAATCTTTATTCCTGTCACATTGTTCATTGTTTTCTTTTTTTTTTTTTAGAGATAGAGTCTCATTCCATCGCCCTCAGTAGAGTGCTATGGCATCACAGGTCACAGCCACCTCCAGCTCTTGGGCTTAGGTGATTCTCTTGCCTCAGCCTCCCAAGTAGTTGGGACTACAGGTGCC